ACTCTCTGGGGCTGTAATTGTGCAGGCTGTGCGTGCATGCTTATGTTTTCCACGGGGGTGACGGATGGGCTCCGGAATAGCTCCATGCCTTGGAAAACATAGGCGCGCGCGGGTAGCGGGGCAGCCAGGACAAGGGAGTGCAACCCACGTGGCTTGTTCAAACAGCAAAAGAAAGGAACAGGAGAGGAGTTCGGCTGTTTGAAAAGCCCCGCTTGGAACTCCTCTCCTGTTCCTTCTTTTGCTGTTTCTACATGCCGAGCGGGTCGCGCTGCCTTGTCTTTCATAGCCGGGTCGCACTCCCTTGTCTTTCAAGCCGTCCCATTTCCAATGGGGGGAGGAGAAATTGCTCTTTTTTGTCCCTCTCCATGGATCTCCTTCCCAATTGGAATGAGGTGGCTATGAAAGACAAGGCAGCGCGACCCGCTCGGCATGTAGAAACAGCAAAAGAAGGAACAGGAGAGGAGTTCCAAGCGGGGCTTTTCAAACAGCCAAACTCCTCTCCTGTCCCTTTCTTTTGCTGTTTGAACAAGCCGTGTGGGTCGCGCTCCCTTGTCTTTCAAGCCGCCTCATTTCCAATGTGGGGGGGAGAGAAATTGATCTTTTTTGTCCCTCTCCATGGAGCTCCTTCCCAATTGGAAATGAGGTGGCTATGAAAGACAAGGCAGCGCAACCCGCTCGGCATGTAGAAACAGCAATAGAAGGAACAGGAGAGGAGTTCCAAGTCGGGCTTTTCAAACAGCCAAACTCCTCTCCTGTCCCTTCTTTTGCTGTTTGAACAAGTCACGCGGGTTGCGCTCCCTTGTCCCGGCTGCCCCACTGCCTCTGGCTTCCTTCCGAGAGTCTCCACTCTCTGGGGCTGTAATTGTGCAGGCTATGCGTGCATGCTTATGTTTTCCACGGGGGTGACAGATGGGCTCCGGAATCGCTCCATGCCTTGGAAAACATAGGCACGCGCGGGCAGTGGGGCAGCCGGGACAAGGGAGCGCAACCCGCGTGACTTGTTCAAACAGCAAAAGAAAGGGACAGGAGAGGAGTTTGGCTGTTTGAAAAGCCCCGCTTGGAACTCCTCTCCTGTTCCTTCTTTTGCTGTTTCTACATGCCGAGCGGGTCGCGCTGCCTTGTCTTTCATAGCCACCTCATTTCCAATTGGGAAGGAGATCCATGGAAAGGGACAAAAAAAGATCAATTCCCCCCCCCCCATTGGAAATGGGGCAGCTTGAAAGACAAGGGAGCACAACCCGGCTATGAAAGACAAGGCAGCGCCACCAAAGGACCTTCCCGGAGTTGCTTATCTGAGCCGGGTATACAGGGCCGGGCGCAGGCCAGGCCTTCCGGAACTTACTTCCGGGTCTGTTGACCAACCGGTTGGCGAGGACCGGCGAGGACTGGCAGCAACCCACCTCTGATGTATGATCAATAAATGCATGGCTGACTTAAGAATCATGCACAAGGATTGGCAGTAGAGGTGGGTTCCTACCTATTCGGTCTGGTTCGGCTGAATAGGTAGTAAAAATATGGTGTACCTTTCCAAACTGGTAGTAATGGCAGCCTGGCCACGCCCCCAAACCAGTCCCTCAGCCGCTCGCTTGCCTCGCCCTTCCCAGTCTCGTCTCTGCAGCTTGCCTGCCTGAAGCGCTATGCCCCTGATCTGTCTGCCAGGTAAGCCTGAGAGTTGCGTCTCATCATTCCCCTTTTCCTCTCAGTCCTGCAAAACCAGAAATCTCCCCCCCTCCAAGCAGCAACTGAGACTGTGCAGGTGGCCAGGCGCTGCTGCTGCTGGAGCTGCGTTGCCCTGCTGAGTGCAGGGACTTCTGCCCCTGCCGCTCTCTGCAGCCAGCGGAGCCCCACATGCACCTCTTCGAGCTGCTGGGCTTTTTGAAGCAGTACACCACCCATACCCTCCGCCACCCGCTCTGCATGGAGTCAATGCAGAGATTGTGGGAAGGGGGACCAGGTAGTAACCTTGTTCTCTGCTTGTGGGCCAGAAAGAGAAGCTGCCTGTGAGGAAGCCCAAGAAACAAAATAAAGGTGCTCTGGGGATCCCCCCCAAAAGACAGCGAAGAGTCCCAGCCTGGTGCATGTCCCCCCTCAAAACTTTTTGCCACCACTTTGGTGGGCGTGGGTTGGTGGGGGGAAGTCATGTGACTGTGCACAAGTGATGTCAAGTTGGCCATGCCCACTCAGTCACATGCCCATCTAGCCACACCCACCAAACCGGTAGTAAACATTTTTTGAAACCCACCCATTGGCAGTGACTCAAATTACTCCCTGGAGTGGTACCTTTCTCTTTCCTGGGTGGGTTGTAGGTGAGACTAGGCAGCCATCTTTTCCAAGACAGCTTAATCTTGATTCCTGTACTCAAGAGTGAATTGACTGGAGAACTTAAATAGGGCATTACAACTATATGATTCTAACCAAATATCTATATTAAAAAGAATAAGTAGAAATATGCTTCTTAAAGTAGCATCTTTGCTTGAGAACTTGACTTAAATCAACAATGTACCCAAAACTATAACACTTTATTTCTAATACCTATCATAATGGAAATATTTAAACATACTTTTTTTTTCAAACACTTTCCTACCTTTTAATGGGAGAAAACAGCCAATTACTCACTTGCCTGTATCTGACATCAAACAAGGAAAATTGGTTAAGAATGCTTTGAAATTAATGTGAAAAAATGGCTCCTGTTCATTTTTATATGAGGAATTATCTCAGAACGAGGTGATAAGTAGGCTTGAACAGAATACATACTTTCAACCTCTGGATTTATAACTGGGATGCCAAAGAAGGAAATAGCTGTCGGAGAAAAAGCCACGAAATCACTACCATGCTACTGCCACCTGGGCCACTGCCAGACCAGGAGAGGTGGAACTGGGAGAAAGCGAATCCTGCTGCAATAGTAGAGAATACAACAAAAAGCGCCTAAATAGCTCCTTATCACGTGTCAGCCCCCCAACGAAGGCGAGGCCGTGCTTTTCTAACAACTCCCCCCAAGCGAGAGTGGCAGCTGGCATTCCCAACCACTGTCCACCAAGAGAAGCGAAAGGCAGAGCCTCGCGAAAAGGAGACGTGGGATTCAGGAGGTGTGCGTGATTGACAAGAGCGCAGCTCAATAGGCGTGCGGCAGTCCCCCTCAGCTCTTCCACCCCTCTCCAACCATGGGCGGGGGTGGAACAATGGGAGGAAAAGGAGATGGAAGCAGGAAAATGGCAGCGGCGTTGGCAGCGGCGGCTTTAGCGGCATCTCCGGGCAGCGGCGTCTCGCGGCAGGGCTCGCCGTCCCCAGCCTGCTTCCCCGCGCTGCTCCTGCTTGCGGCTCTTTCGTCCCTGCGTGAGTCCGAGGCTTGTCGTATTGGGCGCTGTGCAGCTGGGGGGGAAACGGAGGTGGGGGGGGGGAGCGCAGGAGGAAGGAGAGGCTACTTCCTCCTCGGGAGACCCGCCGCCCTCTTAGCCAGACCTGGCGTGGGCCGGAGGTGGAGGAGGAAGACCAGCTCTCTGCCGGCGCTAGTTTGCGCCTGGGGTGCATGGGGAGGAAAAGAAGAGAGCCAGGCTGACCGCTGGGCAAAAGGCGAAGGAGCGGAGGGCAATGCTGCTTTTGTGGGATGGACGTGAGGGCTGGATAGGAGCTGTAAGAAACCCAACCGCTCCAGTAATATATTGACAGGGTGCCTCGTTTGCTTCTTTGTACATGAAGAGGGTGTCTATGGGGGGAGAGAGAGAGGTAAATGTACGTGTCAGAAAGGATGATAGTGCCTGGACATTTTAACCGCTTTGCAAAACAATCTAGAACTGACCCTACTACAGAGGCGCAGGTGTTCTGTCTGTCTGTCTCTGTCTCTGTCTCTCTCTCTCTCTCTGTCTCTCTCTCTGTCTCTCTCTCTCTCTCTCACACACACACACACACACACACACACACACACTTGCCCCGTTTGGAATGCCCTGCCTACACTCTATTCTTGTTGTGATCGTGTCAATTGTACAAATAACGGGGATGTTCTGATTGAGGAAAGAATCAGAATCACTCAGCTCATATACATTATGTTAGACCTGAACATCAGTTTTAGGAATTGGTTCCTATAACATTTGCAGCTGTTTTTCCGCTGAAAGCAAACATGATTCATATGTTACCAGAAAGAGGATGTTGCTTAGCTGAAAATAGGTTTATCCAAATGATATGATCTCCTTGAAGCCACTAGTATGCTAATCTGTGCTCAGGCAACAGTGTAATTGGAAATATTCTATCTTGATGCTCCCATTTCTCTCTCATAATCAATATAGGTAATATATGCAAAACTCATAACATGCAAAAGAACAACTAACAACATTAAAACGATTTTATAAATCCAACCTATCCCTTAATTGTGGCAAAGTGATATATTTCTACAAATTAATTTATATATTACCTCTTCCTTTCCCAGTCTGGTGCCAAGATCGACAATATTTCTGTAGCCTGAAGCAATATTAGCAGTATGAAGGTGGCATTATTCCCTACTTCTGAGTTTTATTACCATGAAATTTTTACATGAAATCAGCATTTCATATTTGATGTATTCTATATGTTACACAGCAAATAGAACAGTAGTAAAATTGTGTAGCATTTATCATTCAATATGAGTGCTAGTTATTTTTCATGTGTAATGTGGATATAAGTCAAGCTAATACTAAGATTCAATCAGTGTGGTATTTAATATTGTGTTCGTTTGAAACTTATTAATATTTTATTCTGATGATACCATACTTACATTTTTAAAAAGTAATTGGAAAGATTATATCAGTTGAAAATATTGTTTCATTTTCAAGTTCCATACTTTATATTACAGTAGTTACAAAAGGTGTTGTAAGACTTATAAATTTGTGCTATATATTTATCAGAAGTGAGATTTTCCCACAATTAGATCATCAAAGAAAGAGAAAAAACTAATGGCAATTCTAATGAGATTAGCAGTAGTTAAAACAAATGCAAGTTTTGTTATGGTTTATTGCAACCTTGTGTCCCAGAGGGAAATGTGAAGAGGAATGAATTCCCCTCCTCCTTTTTTTGTATATGGCAAGTTTTATGCCCAAGTAGACTTGTGTCTCTCAGAGAGTTTAGATTTAGAACAGTGGTCCCCAATCTTTTGGGCACCAGAGATTGGTTTGGTGGAGAGAAGTTTTTCCACGGACTGGAGGAAGCATGGTTTAGTGTGCTGCCTGCATCCTGCAGATGGTACTTCGCTTGTTTGCATGGGCCGTTTTGGGCATGCCATGCCAGGAGTCCTGGGGTTGGGGACCCTTGTTTTAGAATATGAAGTACTATATTTATTTTCTTCTTCCCCTTTCTGCTTAGCATTTTGTTTATATATTTGTCTATTTCTTTTTTACTGGCACAGCAAATCCAGAGTATTTTAAAACTGAATTCATTATTTAAAACCTGAGTTGAATGTTGAACTGATGGGCTTAGAACTCGATTCAAAAATCTACTTAGAGACCTTATTCCTTAAATAGAAACTGACTTAGGTCTGGTTCCATTGTAACCCTAAGCTAAAATGTGCCTTTTTAATTTTTGTTTAGCACAGTTATCCAAAACTGTGATATATAGTTGGAACCATCTATACATCAGAGTAAGCCAAAGGGAAACAATATTTCACTTTAGCATTGGAGGTTATGCTTTGGATACAACTTTTCCAAAATGGAAAGGTTTTTTTCCCCTTTATTTCTGAATTTCATCAAAATATTTCTTCTCATATTGCACTTATTGAATAAACATCTTATTTTCTTCCATGAAACCAATATTTTTAAAAGATAACTGAAAATAAAAGTAGTTAGTAGTCAAATTTGTGCATCCACAAAGCATTCTTTTAAAAACTTCAATGTAATGGGGGAAAGACCTTAGGATTATTGTTTACACACAGTTCTGGAGGAATAAGAAATTGGCTGCATTTTAAAATTGGCTGCATTTTTAAATTTAGACTTGCTTTTTGTCTTACATTAAACTGGTTAGATAATAGCGATTTCTCAAAAATATAAACCTAGCTGTTGCTGTTACACATGTTGAGACAAGAAAAAATTATCCATGAAGCAACAATTAAGTGTGTTCATGTTTGTTCTGTCTACGTCTTCTATTAGAAGTAGGATAATTTGACTAGAACCAAAAATCAGTTCTGCAAGTTGAACTGGGCAGATATTAATAGGAAAATGAAATAATGCTCCAGATGGTTGCCTACAAGGCAACCTATTATCTTTCAAGTATTCAGATATAAACCACTGTCATTTTGGCCAGCAAGGAAGAACTAGAAGTTATTATCCATACCATTTGGAGAATCCCATAGTAGCAACTTATGACAGAGTTATTAATCCAAGTCTGGCTAAATTGGTAGCATTACATTACAAAGTCAACAAATTCTACTCAAGTTTTTGAGTTGGTGAGGTACTGGATGCTTACAGAACTGATGCTTACTTCTGATTAAAATAGGACAGATGAAAGCAATTGTTGAATGAATAGAGAGATAATCACACTGATAAAACACAGTGTTAGTTATCCTTTACCCAGATAAGTGAGATATTCCACTATTTTTTTGGGGGGGGCTGTTCTTGCTCACACTTAATATGCGCTATCTTTGGTGACTCTTTGTTTATACCCATACAGATCAAAAATATATTGTGCAAGTTATATGGCTATCTGCTTATGCCAAACTGTTTAAAATTATTATCTGACTTTAACAATGTTATCATTTTCAATGTTCAATTAGGCTGTTTTAAACTCTAAGCATACGTTACAGTTTTTCAATAGTAGATCAAAGGCATATGGAGTATTCTTTAACAAACAAAATATAATAAGTTAACATATTTTCAATTTCTTTCAATTCTCATTGTAGTGTCAAGTAGCATGTGACCATCTAGATGCTTTGAACTCAAATTTAGATTAACCCTTGCAAGCCTGTCAATAGCAATTATTATGCTGTTGGGTTCCTTCTTACTAGAAGCAAATGCAGAAAAGAAACACCCTTTATTGAAACTAGAAACTAAGCAACTTAATGCATCTTAAAGATGGCTAATGGCAAGGAAGTTTTAGTTCAAACTATTTATTTGGCTTGAGTCACACTAGTATTAATCTCTGTATTAATTCGATATAGTATGATAATCAAAATAGATTGCCTCTAATATTTACTCTTTTGTTGACTAAACTCCAACGCTGGAGTAACAGAATTGTTGAATAATTATTGTCAAAACCCTGTTTTACAAAATCTTGGTATATAATTTAGAAAAAACTTTCATTATTCCAATTTGATTAGTGTGGTATGCACTTTGTGTATTTTATGCTGTGACTCTTTCAAAAGGCTTTGGCAATGTGAAATCCCAAAAATGATGAGATCAAGTGGTGCTCTTTACTATGTTCTGGCATTATTTAAATTGGTAAATATTGTCAGGTGGCCTAGAATAATCGGTGGTGATTCTGTGTACCAACCTCTTATAAGCAGATTTTGATGATTACTTTCATCAGGAATATTATTTTAAGTTGATTTGCCTGCGTGTTTGATCAAAATCTGAAACAGCCTTGAATTAAAGCACAATGCTGTAATATCTATTAGCTGTGAACATTATGAATTATTCTATGAAAGTCAGGAAACATCAACAGTGTTAAAAGAGGGATATTCATGGTACTGCTTCAGAGTAATCATAAGCTATGATTTCATGATCTGAAAAGAATAATATCAGCCAGCTTTCCCAGTTTGGTGCTCAGTGGTGTTGTGCTGTAATTTTCTTATCTATTCTGGCCAACCGAGTTGTTCCAACTCATCCTGAATATAGTAGTTTTAAGAAGATGTTTCAAGCTAACGTTTTCTGGGAATTTAAACTTCAAATTCTTAAAAATCGGCACACAAATGTCAACATATAGAGATGTTCACACAAAGTTTAAAGCCTAATTTGTGTACTAATCTGCAATGTTAGCATGTTGTTTGTTTTGGTTTAATCATTGGTGTTCCCTGGTTAGGAAAATTTAATGACATTTTTTTGAAACTAAAATGCTCTCTGAGAAGTGTAAATAAAGCACACGTTTTAGGATATCGAGATCCTGTAATTATGATTCTGAAATTCTTGTTTTCTTAAGCTTCGCAGTGCCTGGGTGGAGTTTTTCAGAGTAAACACTGGTATTGTTCCCCCCCCTCTAATTTCAGAAACCTTAATGTTGCATTGAAACATTTTGTTACATTGTTTTTCAGAGGAAGTTGACTGGATACTGAAACAATTGCTTTCTCTAGTTGTCTTTGTGGTGTTTTGATTCTATAGAATTATCATTAGAAAACATTGTTGGATGTTGCAACATGTTTCTGGAGAAGGATTAACAGTTTCTAACTTTGTTGCTAGACTTTCTTCAATATTTTAGAAACAGTATTTCATGGAATACTGTTGTTTGTAAAACAGCAACAAACACCAAAGCATTGGTGGCTCCTTATCAAAATCCAAATCTAAAATTTGAAACTATATTCAGGTCTTTTTTTTTAGAAAGTGTAAGCCTTTGATTCATATAGTCTCCTGGTTTGACAAAATGTGAGGATTCTTCCCAAAGAACGCCAGATGTCTAATTGAAATGTCCATATATATTTTCCCTGTTTGATTTTTTAGTCTGGTATGCATTCATTGAATGGTTCCCCCCCCCCACCTTTATCTCCAAGTATGTCACTAGATGGCTATAGTTTTTGAAAGAAAAATAGCATTGTATTTGTTTCAGATTGCTGATTTAAAGAACGCCAGCATTCAATATTGATATTTCCATTCTGAGAATATTTAAAGATTTAATATTGAGATTTAAACCTAGCTCTTAGTATATAGTGATGTAGGTCTCCAATGTTTTTTTAAGCAGTTTTTAACTGATGAAGAAGTGACATATTTGTTTTTTTCAGAGGTACCAAAAAACCCAAGATTCTTTGGATTATAGAAAGAAAACTGTAATATGATCAAGTCTATTTGAATCATAATTGACTAGAACCACACATCATGCTAATTATAATTCATTTTTACATGGCAAATTTTGGAAATTGCCATTGTATAATGGCATTAGACATGTTCAACACTTTCTACCAGCCAGCTGTGAAAGCAAATTTAAAAAAAAGGATGAAACTGTGTTTGATAGAAGGGTAGTCAAAAAATAGAATATATGTAGCTCAGGGCTTAACTGTGGAGTCCTTGGTGTTCTCTGAGCTTGATTGTTTGCATGAGACATTCTATTACTTGACTAGGTAATATCATCAGTGCTGCAAACCAAGCACTCTCTAGTGACAAGGCATCCAATTTGAATACCTAGAGCAGCGATGGCAAACCTTTTTTGGCTTGCGTGCCATAAATGGGGGGAGTGCAGGGGTGTGTGCAGACGTGCTGCACCCATAATGCAATGCGTGACCCCCCCCCCCCAGTGCACATGCATGCACTACAGCGCTCCCCCAATTTTTTGCATGCTTTTTTCGCCCTCCACAGGCTTCAGGGGCTTTATAGGAGCCTTGGGAGGGCGAAAACAGCCTCCCCCGCCCCGGGAAGTCCTCCGGAGGCTTCAGGGACCTCCAGGAGGCTTCCCTGAAGCCTCCGGAACAGTCAAAATGACCCTCCGAGCAAACCAGAGATCCGTTCCCAAACTTCCAGTTTGCCTGTAGGGCCATTTTGTTGCGCTCCGGAGGCTTCAGAGAAGCTCATGAAGCCTCCGGAGGGCCTCCGGGGGGTGGGGAGAGGCTCTTTTTGCCCTCCCCAGGCTCCTATAAAGTCTCTGGAGCATGGGGAGGGCGAAAATGGCTTTAAAAAAGGGTGAACTCAGCGGGCTAGCGCGGACATGCATGCTGGCCAGCTGACAAGGCAGTGCCTCGTGTGCCCTGACAAATGGCTCATAAGTTCGCCATCACTGACCTAGAGGTTTTGGAAAAAACTTGTTGGTCGTAACCTATTCTGAAAGACAGTTGATGGGTCAGCTAATTGGACAAGAACAAATGTTCCACTTATATTTAAAAAGTGCAAATTTGTTTTTGTAGATTTTGGAATGTTGTTCCAGATTTAATCAAAGCATAATACTCAAAGGATTTTAGTATTATGTATCTAGGTAACTTTGTGCATCACAAGCTGAACTTGAGCTACCAGAGTGATGCATCTGCTGTGTATGCCTAGCATCTCATAGCAAATGTAGTCTTAGAAATAATAAAAATAAAGTAGCCAAGAGCAAGATAAATCATTCTTTTCTTTCTGTTCTGCATTGATCAAATTGAACATAGAACATTGTGTCCAATAATAGGCTCCAGATTTTAGAAACGACATCAACAACATAGAGTTTGGCCAGAAGAAAGCAATTAACATGATAAGAGGTCTGGAAGGATCCGCTATAAGGAATGGGTAGAGGGTATTAGCTATGATTAGCTTACAGAAGTCTATATGTGGCATGATGCCTGTCCTCAGATATTTGTCAAGCTGTCTGGAAGAAAACCGGAAGAGAAATAGTGGGGTTAAATAACAAGGAAATGTGTTTTGGTTGAATATTTTAAAAAATCCTAACCATAATGGTTCTTCAGCGATGGTATGGAATTACTTGGGACTAGGGAGATAGTGGAGGCTTTTCTGCTGCAGGTGTTTAAACAGAAGCTGGATGGCCATCTGTTGAGGATGGAATAATAATGGATAAACAGGTGGCTGGGCCAAATTACATTTTAAGATTTTTTCCAGTACTTGTTATTATTTACAGGTAATTCTTGCTTAACAATGATAATTGAGATTGGCATTTTTGTTGCTAAGTGATATAGTCATAAATGCAATTCTGGCAGTCCCTATCATTAAGCAGGGATGCTGCTATAGCCAGAACTTTGAGGCCTGGGGTTAAGTAACATTTGTTCAGCATCATTGCATCTTCAAACAATCATTGGACAAGTAGTTAAGGACTACCTGTAACTGAATATCCCATGATATTTGAATTATTATGCCAATTCTAGATTGAAAGACATGTTTACAGTTCATGCAAAAGATTAAGTGCCACCAGTCAAATTATATAAATCAACAGAACCAAAGTTAAATACAGCATCCTTCTCTGTCTTTGAGTGTATTTTTCTAATTATGTACAGTTGTTTACACTTTTAAAATTAACAACAGTGAAAAGTGGTAAAAAATGATACAAGTTCAATGTTTTAACAGCCAGATAAAAACCAGTTGTTAACTTATTACACAGTAAGAAAATAAACCACCAATATCTGTAAGCCCTTTATTAATTCTAAATTAAGAAGTAGGCAGGGAATAGAATAATGCACCTATATAGCATAGTACATTAACTTCATTAAATGCTTGCACACTTATGTAGAGAACACTTAGCTTTATAATATTAAGTAGAGAGAAAAACATTTTGTCATTCTGCACTTTAGAATCGGAAGTGGTTGTTCTTATATCAAATGGGGAGCAGAAGAGGGGAGTAATATTGTCTTCTCTCTTTAAATTAGGCTTGCTGGGAAATGAAATTAGGTGTCTGCATAATAAAGATGAAAAATTCTGAAATAATGTATTGTATTGAATTTCTCTCCTGAGAGTCCACAGAAAGTCTGGTGTGCATATGACAGCAAATTGTAATATTGCAGCCATACTTTATACAAAATAAAAAACCAACCGACCACATGATGGCTTAATGAGATAAGTGAAACTGATTTTTTACTCAATCTCTTTGATTTAATAGATTCTTGAATCTTCTTTTGGAGAGTGTTAGTATTTATGAAGCATCTGGTATTCCAATTCTTGTAATGTTGTTCTTGATAGTCCAGGTTTCAGCTGTGGAGGTATACACGCCGACAGACTTTCCTGTGGAGAATGGGACTGAGGCAAAGCTTCCATGCACTTTTACTTCCACAGAAGTGATCAGCAGTTCAGCTTCTGTCACCTGGAGTTTCCAAGGCGAGGGATCAACATCTCCTGTCTCGGTAAGATATTGTTTGCAAAAGAAAATAATAAGAAGTAAAAAGTCCTGCCTAATCTTGCATTGCTCTCTGTACTACTGAAAGCCAGATTGTTTTCCGGTAGACTTGAGGGCGGAGCGACTACTGGGATTTCTCACTGCCTGATTGGTCCAAAAGACTGAGGGAAATCTTTTTAACAACCTCCTTTCCCTGTGGCTCCCAGTTCCTCTCAGTCTTTTGGTCCAAGCACTGTCTTTGTGGTTCCAGAGAGAGTGAGTAAATTTTAGTATTTGTTTGGATTTGATCTATTAGCTACTTTAAATTCTAAATTTCTGAGTTACTATCTTGCAGGAACAGGGTCCTCCATCCTGCAGCAAGCTGAGGGAGGGCTAATTGGATTCTTGCCTTCTTCTCGTGAATTTCTGGAGCTCTGTCTGCTCCCTGGAACTGCAGAGCTGTCAGGCTCTGTTTCTGCAGCTCCGCGGGAAGGGCTGCCAGATAGAAGTGCCGATCAGGCTGCGGATGGCTTAATTTAACACTGGGAAGCCGCGCGTGGGCAAAACAAGCCACGGCAAGCTTTTCAAGCCACGGCGGAAGAAAAAAAGGACGATTTGAAGTGCGTGGAAACCTCCGGTGGCCATTTCAGAAGCACGCATGCGGAGGTGGCCATTTCAGAAGCACGCACGTGGAGGCAGCGATTTTCTGGCCCGGAATCGTTGGCTTGCATTGCGGTCGAGTCGGGCCGGAAAGCTTCAGCCTCAACAGCCCACTAATTGTTCCCGCAAGGCCCTTGCACCAGCTGATGGCTCTAGGCGAGACATTGGCGGACACATGAGTGGCACCAATGGCGGAGAGCAGGCAGTCCACTTCCCGGCCCCCAGGGAGTGCCCTAATTGGAGCCGAGGAGGAAGCCATGGTTGGGCCGAGGACAAGGGCAGCTGCAGCCAAGCCTTCAGCAGCCCAACGACCTTCCAGAGCCAGCCAGAGGGATGAAAACCGGTGACAGAAGGCCCTGGAGAAGAGGATTGCTAGGGCAGAACAACAGGCCCAGGCCAACAAGCCTTCTTCTCCGGACAGATCCAGATCTCCTCTGAGGCCTGAATCTCACCAATCGGCCTGCCCCTCAGGAGGTTTAGCCCTTCTTCTCTCTCTACCATCCCCTCTGGGGCACGCAGGCAATCTGGGTTGGAAATTTCCCCATCCCCTCCTGCCTCTTCTCAAAGGCCCAGGGTGGAGGTCAGGGATCCATTGGAAGGTTCATCCCGGGATTTCCTCTCCCCTTACACCCTGGCTCCACAGTGTCTTGCCCCACGACACTCGGAGGATGAATTTGAGGATCTGGAGTTGCTCCCTGAGAGCATCAAGAGACTTATTTCCTTAGCCATTTCCAGGGGAATTGTTTCTGCAGTTTCCTTAAGGGAAAGTCATTCTTCTAGGGAGCCTAGGTGCCAGGTTTCTCATCAGACTAGGAGCTCCTCAGACTTTAGATATCAGACGTCTAGGCCTCCTTCACCATCAGTAGTCAGTGAAGGCTCAGTGTTAGGGGATGACACCCATCAGGACATGGGATTTTCAGAGGATGAAGAGATTGTCCTCCTGGATTCCCGGCCTTCCCAAATCTCTTTACTCATCCAATGTTTAAAACCTTGTTAAACAAAGCTAGGAAGACCATTAAGGTCGGTACAGGTGACCCTGCCATTCCTCCACCGAGAGACCCTAATTTGGTCATGTTCTCCAATACAGTGACCATCAAGGAGGAGGTCCCTGCTCCTCCCCTTTTTCTGGAGGTGGAAAAGAATCAGTGGACTCGCCCTTCCATCTTTCCGAACCCAGGGAGCAACGACCGCTGCTTCAACAACATGGAGCAGGCCTTCTCCCAGGCGCTTCAGTTGCCTAATGTAGACACCCCAGTAGCCACCCTAGCCAACGCCTCATCCAAAGTGTCAGGGGATGTGGCTGATAAATTGAAGCCAGAGGACAAGCAGGCGGAGCTTACATTATGTAAGAATTTCAATGCCTCGGCATGGGCCATAAAGTCCACTACAGCTACCTCTTATTTCAACCCGATCAGCAGCCATGTGGCTCTGCCAGTTGCAAGACCGCATTTCTGTTCAGGATGAGCGACTTCACCAGGATATCACAAAGATAATTGCTGTCACGCAGTTTTCGGTGGCTGCCACCCTTGATGCTGTGAAGTACTCGTCCTGAGGTCTAGCTACCTCGGTGACTTCCAGGCAGTTGTTATGGTTACATAATTGGCAAATAGATAACAAGTCCAAGTGGAGCCTGCCAGCTGCCCCTTACACTGGGACTAATCTCTTTGGCAACTGTCCATCCTCATTTTGTAGACAGTAATTCAGGGCCCCTGAACAAGAGTATCAGCACCAGAGATACGTCCCTCATAGATCCAATAGGCAGTTCCAGAGGCCCTGCTACCAGGACAGGGGTAGGTACCGGGGTCAGTCCAGGAGGCCCTTTCGTGGAGGGAGCGGCCCTTTCGTGGAGGGAGCGGCCGCCCCTTCTGCAAAGGGAAATGACTCCAATGTGGGAATTCGCGGATCAGTGGGACCGAGTGACATCAGACGCCTGGGTAAAGACCATGGTCAGGAACGGCCTCAATCTAGAATTCCTCTCCATGACCCTGACCTTCTTCAGAACCTCTCCACCATCCTGGGACCCAGAACGCTGTCGTCTGATGTCCCTAGCCATACAACATCTGTGGACATCCAGGCGGTAGAGCCGGTTCCGCGGATGGAATGAGGGTTGGATCACTACTCCAACCTATTCGTCTTTCCAAAGAGCTCGGGGGAGGGGGCTGGAGGGCGATACTGGACCTCAAGCACCTCAGCCATTATCTGGTATACAGGCACTTCAAAATGTCATCCCTCAGGTCCATTCTTCAGGGCATCAGTCAGGGGGATTACCTAATATTAGTGGACTTGACAGAAGCCTACCTCCACACCCCATCTTCCCTGCCCATCGCAGGTTCCTGCATTTTCCCCCAAACCGGCTCCATTTCCAATACAAGGCCCTCCCCTTCAGGTTAGCTTCAGCCCCATGCACATTCACGAAGGTCCTAGTGGCATTGGTGGCTTATCTCCGCTTTGTCCCGGTGAGACTACAATGCTATCTTGACGACGTGCTCGTGCAAGCCCACTCTCAGGCCTGGGCTGTCCACGACCTCAAACTCACCATTCGGACTGTATAGGCCCTGGGGTTTTCTGTCAACTTCCCAAAAGTCATCTCTCACCCTCTACGAAGATCTTATACCTGGGGCTGGGGGTGGTGATAGACTCCATGGAGGGCACGGTTTGACTATCTTCAGAGTGGCTCATCAGTCTTCAGGCCTTGGCAAGGCAGGTGAGCACAAAGCGGTCAGTTTCCATCCTGACCTTGGCCCGCCTATTGGGCAAGATGGTGTCATGCATAGGGATTGTCCCCTGGGCATGGCTTCATTCCCGGACCCTGCAGTGGGCCTTCATCCTGTTCCAGCGGAAACATATGAGCAACTGTCCACGACTCATCTATCTACCAGCAGATGTGTGCCTATCCCTGCGTTGGTGGCTGTCCCCAGCTCTTCAATGCGGATTGGAGTTCGGGGAGCTGGATCGAGTGACCATCACTACAGACACGAGCCTGTTTGGTTGGAGGGCCCTCATGGACTCCAAGATGGCGCAGGGCTGTTGGATCTGGTCGGACCTTCATCACAATATAAACTGGCTAGAATTGAAGGCTGCGCGGCTGGCCCTCCAACTGCTCAAGAGTTTGATAGAGGGCCACCATGTCCTTCTGTTGACAGACAATGTGGCCACAAAGGCCCACATAAACTGTCAAGGGGGGACTCATTCCAGAGCCCTTTGGCTGGAGGCATTGAAACTCGGCTCCTGGGGAGAGAGACATCTTGCGTCAGTGGTGGTGGAGCACATCTCGGGCACGGCCAACCACCAGGCTGATTGGTTGAGCTGCGTGACTGTGGACCACGGGGAGTTGCAGATTTTATCCAAACTCTTCCAGAAGTTTTGCCAGAGGTTCGGCAACCTTTTGGTGGATTTGTTTGTGACTCCAACAAATGCCCAGCTCCCAAGATTCTTCTCTCGATTCCTGACCCTGGCCGCAGAAGGAACAAACGCTCTCTGGAGCAGATGGCCTCCGGACCTATTGTATGCATTTTCCCCGCTCCCTCTGATACCGGGGACACTGAGGAAGATAGTGGTAGAGAGGGCGGACATCATTCTGATAGCACCTTATTGGCCCAGACGGCCTTGGTTTGTGGACCTCGTCCAGCTCTCCGTCTCTCCCCCATGGAGGATTCCTTGGGAGGAGCTCTCCCTGCGCCAGGGGGTCTTGATTCACCCGGCGCCCCAGTGACTCCACCTAACCGCCTGGTGCTTGAGCGGAACCTCCTGAGAAGTGCCAACTGGTGCTCCCACGTTATAGTGACCATTGAGGTGTCTAGACACCCCTCCACCACACGGATATATAATTCCACATGGGCGGCACTTGTTAAGTGGTACAGCCCACTCAGGATTTGTCCAACTGAGGCTTGGGTCGCTCAAATTCTGGACTTCCTCCAAAAAGCTCTGGATGGGGGTCTCTCACAACACTTTGTGGCATCCTGCCCTCAGTTCTGCCAGGGGACGATCATTCGTCTCTAGCCCACCATTCCCTGGTCAAGAGATTTCTGAGGAAAGCCACTAATTTATGTCCCCCTCCTGTCCATAGGTTCCCAACTTGGGATTTACCCCTTGTTCTTAGGGCCTTGATGAGGACTCCCTTTGAGCCCTTGTGCACTGTCCACCTTAGATTCCTATCCCTCAAGGTGGCATTCCTTGTAGCCATGACTTCTGCCAGGCGCCTTTCCGAGTTGGGGGTTTTGTCATCTAAGGATGACTTCTGTCAATTTCACTAGGATAGAGTGGTCCTACGATTGGACCCTACCTTTCTCCCTAAGGTCAATTTGCCCTTCTACCAGGCGCAAGAGTTCATCCTTCCCAATTTCTGTCCGGCTCCCTCCCATGAGAAGGAGCACCTTTGGCACCGGCTGGACATTCGTCGTGATTTGCGCATTTATCTCCGACGCACGTCTTCCTTCCGTAGGCCTGAGGCCCTCTTTATTTCATTTCAGCCTGGTTTCCTCTGCCACCATTTGCAAGTGGTTATGACAGGCCATCTCTATGGCCTGCGAGTCCTCAGGCCGTCCCCCCTTCGGGGATCATGGTCCACTCCACACAGAGTGCTGCTTCTACAGCAGCGTGGGCCACAAGGAGTCCTTTCGAAGACATTTGTCGGGTGGCTACTTGGTCGTCCCCGACTCTGCCACTACTGGCTGGGATGCCTTTGCATCGGCCGAGGCGTCCTTTGGGCGTAGGATACTACAACAGGTAGCAACCGCCCCTCCCCCAAATCTTAGTTTCCCCTTCAGGGACTGAGCTTGGATATGTCCCAGAAGTTGCCCCTCCCTTGAATCTACTGGAAAAAGAACGTTGGTCCTTATCTGAACGTTTCTTGTCGGTAGATGAGATGGAGGGGTGACATCCCCCCTAGGTAGACGTAGGTGATAGTCGAGGTGAGGGGCAGGGGGGTGGTATTCTCTTGCTGTTGTCTGTTTTCTTGGTAGTTTGCTCTGGTCATGCGACTTCAAGGAACTGGGAGTCACAGGGAAAGAAGGAGGTTAAAAAGATTTCCCTCAGCCTTTTGGACCAATCAGACTGTGAGAATATCCCAGGAGTTTCCCCTCCCTCTACCAAAAAGAAACATTCAGGTAAGGACCAACGTTCTTTCCCTTGAAATGCTGGAGAAGATATTAATTGTATTTTGCACCAAAATTGGTTGTCACCAGAACCTTGCTTAGATGAGGAAATGTTTTAACCCACTTCACATGCTTGGTTGGATATCTTTTTATCTTGACATGATTGGAAAAATAATAAACTGACACCAGAATGAAATCATGTAATAGTAATAGTATTAATAATATTATCAGTACATTATTTTGAGAAAAGAAAAACAGAATTGAGGAAAGTCGGGTAGAGCAATATACCTGAGCTCCTGAAATTAGTTTAAAACTTTAAAAACTCTTGTGATATTATATGTTAAATGTTTCTCTTCAACTTGTTTTAAAGCCAGCTTTACAGGCTCTCAAGTAGAATATTATCTTTGTCACACTTGCACTGGTTTGAAATTTATGTATTGTATTGGTTGTTAAGATTTGTTAAGACAATAGTTGGAAAACAAGTTTTTAATACAGCATAATGTTTGTATTTTTGATTATAGTTCTTCTATTATTCCAATGGACAAGCATATCCTGGAAAGAGTACACAATTTGATGACAGAAGCAACTGGGCTGGAGACCTTAACAAGAAAGATGCATCAATCACTATTGCAAACATGCAATTTCAAGACAATGGAACCTATATCTGTGATGTTAAAAACCCTCCAGATATAGTTGTTACACCAGGAAAAATCAAAGTCAGGGTTATGGAGAAAGGTATAGTAATAATTGGATGGAAAGAAAAATTAATTAATGAGTGATGGAGAAGTTCTGCATAAATTGCATTCTTTCCATTAAATTGCTTTATGTAACAATGCGCTGAAGCAAGTACTTGTTTGCCTATTCTGGATTTTATTCCATTATTTTATTCTGAACAGTGGAGTAGAAATTTCACCATTTTATTGTATTAAAGGTCATGGAATAACTTAAAATGAGTTAATGGCATAAGCCAAAATTCTGTATTCATCTGTGATTTTTGGAATAAATTACAAAAACTTTCGCTCCCAACATAGCTTAATAATTTAAATTGTAAAAAGTACAAAACTGTCTTTTCAAAAGTTAGATTAAATTGAATGCTGTAGATATTGTAAGTTTAATGGTCTTACTCCATAGATCCCATCATTTGCCCATTTCAATCTCATAACCAAAAGTTTCTCTCCCA